GTCTTATTTTCGAGATCTCGAGGATGTATGACATGGTCTGAGTCATTTAATTCACAATAATATGTTCCATCACCCAGGGCTCTAATGTTGATTGACATACAATCGTCCTCAAAGTAACACTTCAATTCACAATCCTCAGACGATTCCGTCGTATGAAAGCTGATCACGTGATCAATAGACAAGGAGCCTCCTTCGATTGAGGATTCAAACAATAGCGTGCGACATTCATCTAGTGATAATAAATATGAAAGAAACGAAGTTAAGATGTTAAGCCTTAAACCCGAATTATTTCAACGAAAAGTTACTTTTCTGCGTGTTACTCCAAATAGTGTTAAATGAAACATTCATTGGTCGACTTTCGTCACTCTCATCACCCGCGTCCTGTGCTTACAAACCTGACTTTTATTAAATGACATCCTCGATCTCTGATTCATCATAAAAATACCCAAGGATTACGCTGATGTTTTTCATTCTTCGCAATCTTTGATCTCAAGATCCCTTGTCACATTCGATCCCTAAACACGGATAATAGCGGCAATAAATTAGACGAAAGTAGAAAGGAAACACGGAAACTTTGAGAAATTCCTAAAACACAATCCAAGCTTTCACGAAAGGCTTTCAAACTATAGTCAGTACAGACCAATTTTTGGCTGCCATCAAAAGAAACATACATTTTGAGAGTAGTCAGAGTTACTGATATTTGTGACTATTAGAGTTTACGCTTACCTTTTCATTTACAGAACTACGAAAATATATGTCAGATTTGCCTTACCACATGGATGAGAGCTTAAATTTACATATGGCTTGATCTACAGCGTCAAAGAGATATTCTCACTAACACACTACTATTTCAGGGTTTTAAGAAGTAGAGGGATTTATGAGAGGATCAAATGAGGGAACCAAGGAGGGATGATGTTCCTCATCCTCTCTTGAAGGAATTTAAGTGTAAAATAGGAAATGAATAGCTTACCGCTTCCTTGAGTGACTTTAAACAACCCAAGCGCTACGGAAAGAAAAAGGGCCTGGAGAAATATTCGTTCTGACATCCAATAATTTGGTAAAGCCACCGCGAGAAAAAAATCCTTAAACTTGCCGTAGTACTTTAAAGGAGTTGAAAGCTCCAGAGCTACTTATGAGAGACTGACCGCTTTACATGGCTTGGAGGTTTAACGGATCAAAATAATTAAGAACTATCTTAAGAGCGGATCAAGTTGTGCAACCTTTAATTTGTTATAATCCTTACTTGTTAAGGTAAAAACAAGAGGCGTATAATAGAAATATGATTCGTTCATTAAGAATTCAGCGTTACTGCTGAGCGAAAGAATTATGATAGGAACTTCTTATCAAAGCCATGGAAATATCTAGCTGTTTTAAGTAGCACAGATGTTTCAACCATGCATCAGTTGGTCGATCCTTTTTCTCTTCTGTATTCTAATCATGTTATTCTTATATATCTAACACAGCTACAAAGAACCCTACAGTTATGCTTATTAATAGATTTACTACATTATTTGAAAAAATTTTAAGGCAAGTTGAATAAAATACTCGACCCCAAAATATTTTCCTCACCTTGTATGCCTACAATATTTTAGACGAAACGAGCTGAAACGCGTCCGAAAATAAAGAGAAGTTTTACAACTATATATACTGCTAGCAGAGTTCTGCTGACTAGTTTAGTTTTAAAAAATTGATTTGAAGAGGAAAACAGGAGGTATAAAAGAAATATTATTGATCATTAAGTATTCAGCGTTATTTCTATTCCATGTTTTGCATTTGATACATGTGAAAAACAAGCGGTGTATAGTATCCGTAGCACAAATCTTCCTTTAACTTAGCACAGTTGCAATGAAGCTGGCAGATGCAAATGTGCCTTTCAGGAGATTTACTACATTACTGGAGTATTAGTAACATAATTATTTAGTCCTGGGTATTTCCTTCTATGAGTTACCAGCCTATTCAGAAGAACATTGCGAACAAGACCAAAATTTCTGTGCCCTATAACCCGCTTAAAGCGCTCCTTTTTTAAGACGAGTGTCTGAGAAAAATTTACGTGATCACCCACATTACTTTTATTTAGAAGTCTACCCATAAAGTGAATAATTCAACTTTGTGTTTTATTCCCTTACTTTTTCAACTTATTGGTTATGAGTGCCTTTTATTTCAATCCCTTTTATATTATCTTTCTCATATTTACAAATTCTGTCGCCAATTAAAGGGAAAAGCTTACCCTTCGAACTTTTATTGTTCTTGGAAATAAACATAGCTGAACTTCTACCGCGGGTTGTTTCATTGAATACTTTAATGTGCGGTGTATGTAAAACTACAACTTAATAGTAACGACAGTGGCGCAGTGTCAATCAGTCTACCACAAGAGAAAGGGGTGTCTTACATATAAGCGCTTTAAAACCTGGTAAGAGCATATAAGTATTGTATTAGTATTTGATTTTCCTTGTCTAATAAGCCAACAANAATGAAAACAGAAATAACTTTGAAATAAGAAGAGTCGTCGGATTCCGAGGCTATGAAGAAGAGAAGGAGAAAAGTTACGTGTGAGACTGACTCGCATAGTTCTGAGGGTTTGGTCCTGCTCATTAAAACATAATGTTACAACAGGTATCTCTCCTCTAGAAGGCTAATCCATCGCAAAGTACCCCATTTCCTCAACACAATGTCTTGACTTGCATCGCTCATACTTTTTTGATTGATAATCACCAAGAGAAAATAATAGAACTATTATTTTCTCTTGTAATAACCAATCGACACTAAATTGTGTTTCAGAAGATCCGCATGCTTCGATTCTACACCCGATCGAGAGAAATTAGTAATGGTTGATATTTCAATGATCCATAACCTATAGATATTTTATAATATTTTTTTCCTTTACCATTAGAGCAATGTTCTCCTTTAAATCCCGCAGAACATTTACAGCGGTATCCTTTAGCGCCAAATCCTGTTTGGCAGCGGCCGTTCGGTGTGCAAGGATGGTTGATGCAAACGTTCTGTTGATGAACATACTGTCACTACAAGAACTGGATGGATGACGACTACAATAAAATGAAAGGGAAGGAAGGCAAAAAAAGCATAGAAAATGAGACGAGATGTCGGAGCCTCGTGAAGGAAGTAAACTAAAGGCAGGGAAGAATAGAATAGAAAAAAAAAATCACACCAAAGTTACGTTTTTTTTTTTTCGCTGTTTAACTTAATACTTATGGGATCTTGCACAACAGAAGAGCAGTCTATTACTAGGTTGAAGGCATCCCCTTATGGAATAAGGGCTTAATTGTGTACTCAAACTCTAAGGGTGCGTTCACACTTGATGCACGAGCATTAGTACCCGGACATCGGCACAAAATGGGTGCTATGTTCAGACACTGGCTAACCGACCTTGTATTCGGACACAGGCAAAACTTCTGTCGCATGCACTTGAAAAAAAGGTGCTTTCATATAAGTGCCCACCAAGAATCGTACTTGGGCCCCGTGATCGAGCACCAAGCGTGAAAGCAGCCTAACACTGATTCGCCATCAATTTGAATCGAGAAATTCATACCTTTACTTATCTGTAAATAATGCCCGTCTTATTTTCGAGATCTCGAGGATGTATGACATGGTCTGAGTCATTTAATTCACAATAACATGTTCCATCACCCAGGGCTCTAATGTTGATTGACATACAATCGTCCTCAAAGTAACACTTCAATTCACAATCCTCAGACGATTCCGTCGTATGAAAGCTGATCACGTGATCAATAGACAAGGAGCCTCCTTCGATTGAGGATTCAAACAATAGCGTGCGACATTCATCTAGTGATAATAAATATGAAAGAAACGAAGTTAAAATGTTAAGCCTTAAACCCTAATTATTTCAACGATATGTTACTTTTCTGCGTGTTACTCCAAATAGTGTCAAATGAACTGAATAGAAACGGCTTGATACTCCTACATTAGTAATGCCTCATATTGAAATGGTGTAATGACTCGGTTTTTTGTCAATAGCAAAGCGTAGGCGGCAGGTTACTCGGACACAAAAACAAAAACTTCAACTACTTTCAGAACATAAATGTAAACATCCAAAGTTCTAGTGTTTTCTGTGCAGAGAAGTAAACTAACAGCATTTCTTCCAACGCGCTGAGTCCGGCATACATTTACGAGTCACAATTAGCAGGTTTATGTGCTCTACTGTACATGTATATGTTTCTATTTCTGATCTGCGTACGTAAAATCTAATTGAAGGAAAACAAAATAAGAAATGTAAGTTTCGATGCTCTAAAAACGTTTCATCTTTTTCCCTCTAGCTACCCTACCAATAGAGTTTATTCTAATACAGGCACCTAACACGTTTAAGATGATAAGCATTTAATGACTGACCCCCTAGCGGAAGAGTGAGTTTTCTTTCCATTCAGCACTGAGAGGAAATAGAAAGCGCTGTTTCCTGTGGGGCAAGTCATTAAATGTTTTGTTATACACTTAAACTAAAAAATAGAATGAGTACAAAAAAACTTGGTTTGCAGTGGGTTAACAATTACTGGAGAGTGCATCACTTAATTATCCTGGCTTGAGTCTTAATTAGCATATAGAACTAAACGGAACTGAAATCTATACTTCTCCCAGACGCAATGTATACTGCGCGGTATCCATACAAAACATGAGCGAACGAACGAAAAATGATCATGATACCACTTTACTTATTTTATTTTTTCGTTCAATTTTATTGATTAAGTCTTCTTGTTTTTTAGAAAATTCATGCTAGATGTTTTCGTTGCGCTTCACACGTCACTGTGCATAAGCTGTTACTATTCTTTCACCTGTCTAAACTTTCCCACCCAACATTCCACAGTTCTCGCAACCTACGATTTTCCCGAAAACTAACAGACTAATTGTCCGTATAGTCGGCTTTTCGTTTCTCCACAAATGCTGTCATCCCATCCTTTCGATCGTCCTGCGAATTGAAAGAAAAAGGAGAAAATTTTCCTTGGGGAAAGATTGAGCGCGTCTTTACAAATCCAGTGTATTGTTATTTATCACCACGGTAAGGATTAAATAAAGAAGTTAAGTTTCTAAAGAAACTGTGGTGCTGCGACGGTGGGGGGTGGGGAAGGGGTATTACAAGATAATTTGGCTTTATCAACTGGGTTGACAAAGTACATTGGCCTCCGTAAAGAGTTATTAACGCTAACGTTCCTGGCGTTAGCCAACAACAACAACTCAACTCAACAACTTTAATGTAATGAGACATGACATGACACTTAACATAATGACGCACTACCCACAAATCGCAGAGCTAGTCTCGGTGGCCGGTGTGTGGACGCTAAAACACCTTAAATAAATTTTGGCTCAACAAAAGATTCAATAAATATAAAAGAAACAGAAGTTAAATATTAAATCAGTAAAGCAGAAATGACAGTATGAGATAAAAATACAGAAACAGAAACACATGACAATAAATAGAAGAATACTTAAGTTATACAC